GCAGGAAGCCTCAATTCTGCCTGAGCCTCAAAGATGGTAGAGAACAGTGGGTAAGAGAGACAAATATTTTCATCTTTCCAGCAGGAAGCATAAATCAATAGAATAGTCAAAGAAGGGAGAATGCACAAGGCGTATTTCAGCTTTGAAGAGGCCTCTCATTTTTGAATATCATTTCAGCCATTTTTCATGACATAAGGATGTCAGTTATTATGTTCCCCCATGCATACAGCAAAGCAGTGTGAGGGCAGTAGTTTCATAATACATACCAATGAGCAAAGTGATCTTTTCATTTGCCAAAAAAAGAGAGCCAGCAGGAGGAGTCTCTCAGTGAGAGAGAACTGTCTTCTCTGCCAGACAGATTATGCAGTTGAGACTCCGGTTTTCACCCAGCTCAGGACAAGGGGGATTCTCCTGTTCGGCTGGACCAGCACCAGCTGTGCCTGCAGGCACGGCTCAGGCATTTGTCTGGCCCTGTCTAACCCTAACACTGTTAATGTGACAAAGAAAGAACAGATATTCCTGAGGTGATCTTCTTAAAATAAACTTCCATATAAACAAAACTTTAAAGCAACAACAACGATGACGACTCACTCTCTCTCCCTTGTCCATGCTGTCCAAGCAGAAAAATCAAAGTGGGTGATGGGTTAGCTACTGTGTGCAGAATTACTGTGTCTTAAATCAAAAATAATGAAGGAAGGAAACAACACTGACAGATATCATCCACTGGAACTAGAACGAATGAACTGCAAGGAGAAAACAGTACTAGGCTGCTTTGTCCAGAAGCACCTAAGACCAAGTAAATGTAGGAGCGGCAAAAAAATCAGGTCTCAAGCAATATGGGAACCCAAGGTTAAGTTGAGACCAGAGCTTTGAATGCCAAGGAGTATCAAAAGGGAAGCACTGCAGTCACTCTTGTTCTGATTTTCAAGAGACCATTGACTAATTACAAGATTTCAAACTTCAAGATAAGGTGGGTAAGGAATTGGCTGGATGGTCACACTCAAAGAGTTGTGGTCAATGGCTCAATGTCCAAGTGGAGACCTGTGATGAGTGGCGTTCCTCAGGGGTCAGTACTGAGACCAGTGCTATTTAACATCTTTGTTGGTGACATGGACAGTGGGATCAAGTGCACCCTCAGCAAGTTTGCTGACAACACCAAGCTGTGTGGTGCAGTGGACACGCTGGAGGGAAGGGATGCCATCCAGAGGGACCTGGACAGGCTTGAGACATGGGCCCATGTGAACCTCATGAAGTTCAACAAGGCCAAGTGCAAGGTCCTGCACATGGGTCAGGGCATCCCAAACACAACTACAGGCTGGGCAGAGAATGGATTGAGAGCAGCCCCGAGGAGAAGGACTTGGGGGTGTGGGTGGACAAGAAGCTCAACATGAGCCGGCAATGTGTGTTTGCAGCCCAGAAAGCCAACCATGTCCTAGGCTGCATCAAAAGCAGCGTGACCAGCAGGTTGAGGGAGGGGATTCTGCCCCTCTACTCCACTCTGGTGAGACCTCCCTCTGCAGTACTGCATCCAGCTCTGGGGTCCCCAGGACAAGAAGGACATGGACCTGTTGGAGCATGTCCAGAAGAGGCGATGAAGATGATCCGAGGGCTGGAGCACCTCTGCTATGGAGACAGGCTGAGAGAGTTGGGATTGTTCAGCCTGGAGAAGAGAAGGCTCCAGGGACACCTTAGACCACTTTCTGGTACCTAAAGGGGCTACAGGAAAGCTGGAGAGGGACTGGTGACAAGGGCAGGGAGTGACAGGACAAGGGGGAATGGCCTTAAGCTGAAGGAGGGGAGATTCAGATGAGATCTGAGGAAGAAATTCTTCTTGGTGAGGGTGGTGAGGCACCGGCACAGGTTGCCCAGAGAAGCTGTGGTTGCCCCTGGATCCCTGGCCGTGTTCAAGGCCAGGCTGGATGTCATGTTCAAGGCCAGGTTGGATGGGGTGTTGGGCAACCTGGGCTAGTGGAGGGTGTCCCTGCGCATGGCAGGGGTGTTGAAACTAGATGGGCTTTGAGGTCCCTTCCAACCCAAACCAGTCTGGGATTCTATGATTCTATAAGATTTGAACTTAGATTCTTAGGTTTTATGGTATTTGATTGATTACCATGAAACTCCTCATAATCTTAGCAGAAAGTGCTTAAATCCAAGTACAATACCCTTGACACTATCTGTGCAAAAGTGTATGCCTTCAAAGATTTATGAGTTTGCAAATTTAAAATCAAAATAAATTTTTACACACTGCATGGAACTACTCACACCTATACGTATAGGATTATATTCTACATACCTGCAGCGTCACAGGACCAGAAGTTGCATGCAAGTAAAAATGTTTAGAAAAATGTCTTTCTGTATTCTAGTACAAAGGCCACGAACTTGAGTAATTTCTAGTTTGGGACCAGGAAGTGCCTACAATTCTGTGAGTGTCTGTTTTTCAGTTTCTAGATGTTTTACACTAAAGAAAGCTCAATAAACAAAGAATTCACTTACAATCCCAATGAGATATGGGCTGCCTGCATCTCCCAGCAAATGGCTCACCAAAATCTGCAGAGCAATAGCTGTAGACTGCCGTCCTGGTGTCACAACATACTGAAACAAAACACAAGCCACAAGAGAATGAATGTTAACAGAATGAATCTCATGAATGGCCAACTACTTACATAACATCCTAGAGAGATTAATATATTCATTTTTATATATTTCATATTCAAATACCGTTTACAAGTTTGGTGTCAAAGAAGTTATTCTGAGCAAAAGAGTACACTGAATGTTTTGTTGGGGGAAAAAAACATTCAAGAAAGCAACATGCAAGGGGGAGTGACAGTAAAGTAGGAAAACCATGACTCCTCTGCCTCCATTCGTAGACTTACAGCAGCTTGTACAGATTCACTTGGCCACACAACTAACAGTAGTTAACAGCCAGTAACCTGTCCAGTTGTACTGATTTACTAATGAGGAGATTCAGCCTCTGAGAAAAATCTCTCATGACACTGTGTCAGCAGGCATGGTCTAGACTGCTGGGGGAGACTGGGGTACCTGGAACCTGAAGTAGCTGCCAGAGCTATAAAGGATGTTGGCTGAGACCTTACAGACTGTGTGAAGACAGAGGGAGGGGACCCAGCCTGGCAGACCAGAAGGTGGCTGATGGTGCTTTGATGACAGCTTTGATGGCAGAAGTTTGCTGCTCGTAACTGGATGGCACCTGAGATATAGCTAGTCTAGTAACAATACCTCAAAATGATGATGCTTTTGAGTGCACACAGTTTAAATAACAAATTGAAGAAGATGATGTGGTGCACATCTGGAACACGGCAAAGCATCACACAGATTAGAACTATTTTTAAAATCAAATATAGTCATTTTGGGGTAATAAGGGCTTTATGTCTGTGCTGTGAAGATCAACTGTGCCTGAAGAAGTACAGTATGATTCTATATAATTTGCGTCTCTCTCTTTCAATAATACATTTACAGAAAAAGCATTCACAGTCAGAATGAAGCAGAAGCAATTTTAACCTTCATACCTTTGTTTTCCAATCACTTGCTCATATCAGAGACAAAATGCTTAATATTCTCCCAGTCCTCTATTTCCCACCTTGATGTTTTGGAAACTGATCTGAACATCACTTAGGGTGCCTCACACTAATTAATGGTGTGACTGGTGTTTTACCAAGAGACAAACACAAAGTATATAACCTATATTGTGGCTCTATAGCCACCTTCAAGGAAACACTAACATGCATGGCAAGCTGGGTTTAGAAGAAAAAAGATCCTGCTCTCACATTTAACTTAGAGTTTTATTATCATTCTTTGTGTTTAAAGATGCCTCAGAATATTATATAAAAAATATTTATCTACCACTAAGATGTAGCTATATCACAATAGTAACATCAATGGCACATCTTTAGGGTAGGTGGAACTCCATCAATGGGCATTAAAACAGGTAGGTAAGGAAGCAACGTTGTCCAAGACACCAAAGTTAATTACTCGTGTGAGAATAAGGGCAAAAACCCTTCAGTGCCACATGCAGTCAGGACCTATATGTACCGGTAAGTTACAGCATTTTAACTGTACTGAACTATACTGAAACTACAAATCCATAGCACAGATGCAGAAAGGAAGGACAATAAGCTATATTAATGGATTGGTTTGCATTCAGGGATGGATTGACAGAGAATTCTGTAGCACTGCATTCCTTTCCCTCTTGCAGCCCCCCATCTGCAGGAGCTATCATGTTATACATTCTTGGTATGAAGACCAGAGCACATATAGAATCAAAACACCTAAACCCAGTGATTTTTCATAAAAAAACATTCAGAGAATAATGCATGATTTACATCTTTTAGTTCAAGTATCATGCCAAACTTTCTCCATTGCTATGGTTTTCATGCTCTGTGTCTCTCTCACAAACCTATTTCTATCATTTTCTCTCATGTTTGACAAGACATATGTGCTGCGGAGTCTTTCC